CTGAAGATTTCATTCACTAACCTGAGGTGGATTTCTTAATTTTTAAAAGGGTGCTTCATGTCTCAAACAGGAATATATCTTGTAAATTTTGACATAAGCTCTTCACATTAATGAGGGCTTACATACGCTGGATAAGGCATGAATATACAAACAGTAATATGCTTGTTATGGGAAATAGAGAAGTTTTTATGCATGGTGTTTTATCAACAGGACCACTGTATAATGTTATTCAGAAGAGCAGAGACATTTTTAGTATCCTTACATATGCCAAGTCACTAATAGGTTTTATAGGTTTAGTTATTTAGATTTGCAGTGTAGGTTTTATAGGATCTTTCTATAATTTTCATGTATGTTAAATTTGCTTACATATATGTATTTTATGTTTTATTACATTTTATTGTATTCCTTTTCTTCACTGGTCACAGACCATGATGAAGAATCCAATTCAATTACATTTCTTATACTGTATATCAAGATCAACGTTCAAAACTGGCTTATTAACTTTAAGACATTTTTGACAGTTAACATTGGCTGTTGGCTCCTCTGAAGCTGAATCAGGCAGGGTTGCTTTCCTCTTCTTTATCGGTCTTACAAAATCTGAGTAGTTATTATTATTTTTAAGTAGATTCTAATTTGATATAGCACAATACAGACAACTGATAGCAGCTGACCTTTAAGACATTTTTTGTCGTTCATGCACTTTGTGTATGTTATCAGTAAAGATAATTCTGCTTGGCTAAGCCAAAAAACAGGGGGAAAACTACATTAAAAGCACAAATCTGGAAGAAATTAGTCACACTTATTGTTGTGTATGTGTCACCCAAAGATGAAAAATATATCCTTCACAGGTGCAGAATGTTATGAGGTATGCTGAAAATCTGGCTTTTAATTGTTACCTGCATTTAAAATGGTCGTGTCCAGATGAGGTTCTAATATTTATTCATATTGTTAACTCACTATGGAATTGGACTCACAGGACCATAGGATAAGATTAATACACAAGCCATCAAAGATAATATAATTCCCTTAACTCTTGATAAAAAGTTAAACGTGGTCTCAAGCCACCAAGAAGAGTCCAGTGCTTCAGCTAAACAAGTGAGTTAAAGTTATACAAACCATTTAGAATTTTTACAGGTAAGACTGAGATAAATTAGCATCTGGGAAAAAATGAGAGCATAATTGAAAATTGTGTGTTTAGAACTTCTCTAAACCATCATCTCAATGCACTTTTAATTCATTTATTATGTGGCTGTTAGCAGACTTCTCAGCCACAGTAATTTGCTTCTGTCGTAACAGCTTACATTATAGAAGTGGGTTATTGTCACAAAGAAAAACGGCTAATAAATGTTATGAATAAATAAGGCAGTGCGTAGTGTGTGAACTGTACTGTGGTGTTTGGAAAGCATCTTCGTAGTTTCCACCTTCATATCTCCCCCTCTGAAACATCAAAGAAACTTCAGGGCTGCAAAGTTAGGTAGCCTGGTTCAGCTCAGCCCTATTTACAGCAGGTTGTCTCATCTATGCAGCAGCTCTTTGGGTTTCATAATAAAAGTAGTGTTTGAGTGTGAGAAATATTTAACTGTTCTCTCCATTGTTTATCTTCAGATCTGTATAACTTCAGAAAAGGAACACAACGGGTTTATCAAAGTATGCAGTGGGAAGAAAAAGGGCTTTGTCCCAGTAGATGTCTTAGAAAACATCTGAAACTTACCCGCTCAACAACTGCAGTAGTGAAGCTTTGCCAGCAAGACCCGTCTGCTTCATTTTGCACTGTGTCTACCCAAACAAGCTGTCTTGAAGATGACTAGGGAAATCACAAGACAACTACAAAGATCAACTGTTATCAAGCACTTAAGCTGCTTTGAAGCAACAAACAGTGGTTGATCAATAACAAACTGTATTATTAGAGAAAGAACCAAATAAAGGTGGTGTGAGTCTTAAGGGAGGGGTGGGCTGTTTTTCTAAAAAGACAAAAAATTAAACTGGATTTTTTTTTTTTTTTTCCTGAGCAAGGCTGCTAACTGTTACCCCTTTGGCAACAGGCAACTGATCTGTAAGATTAAGTTTTTATCTTGTTCAGATGTCTTAAGAAAACTATGAGAGACTTTTGATGTTTGAAGTGTGACTGGTTGGGAAGGGTTCAGATGTTTTCTGTGTATTACTGTGGTTTGATGGTTGAAATATATGAGTCTGGTCTTTAAAATGTTGTCCCCCATTTTAAGGAATCAGGATAATGTTTGGTTCTGATTTTCAATGTTTTGTAACAAAGCAGTTTAAGTAAAACATGTAGACATCAGTTTGGGAAATGTACTACTGCCTAGATTAAGTTCTCTGTGGGTTTTTTATACAGGTTAAACTGGTGGGCTTGTATACCTACAAGTTGCAGATCATGGATGTAAATTCTGTTCATACAACTGATGAATAGCGTTTTCCCCAGTGAGGCCCAGTTAGAAGTTCTTGCCAAAAGAAGAAAATTGTTTGAAACAAGGAATTTAGCTGCAGACATGCTAAATACATTTTCTATTTTTAAATATTGTGTGTGTGTGCACGTATGCATGGGAACATGTTTCAGGGTATATGCATACACACACACTCAAACATATTCTTGTTTCTGTGGGTAGCCAGTTCCCCTTCAGAATGAAAAAAGCGTTCATCCGCAGATGAAAAATATATGGGATGAAAGAAAAATAGATTAACCAGGACACATTGAAGAATGAGCGCAACGTTCAAATGGCAAGGTTTGAAAATTCAACTGGAAGCATGAACCAGCTACAGTCCAACACAAAGTTAGATGCAGTTATAACGATGCCCTATTACGTTTCATAGAATTAACACTGCCTTCTTGGGATAACAACCTCTGACAGAAGCCAGAATTTTGCCCATTGTTTCACATTCTGTTTTGACACCCAACCCAGGCAACATCCTTCTGATTCCAGTCAGAGTTTGGAGTCAGCTTTTCCTTCCCTTTTTATGCAAGTGGATGAGAGGTTGTCACTGAGGCTGAACAGAATCTATTGGTTTAGCACAAGAAGAATACAATGTGATCTCTCTTGAGGAGTTCTAAGCCCCTTTTTATAATTAATCTATGATCTGCTTGTTTGTTTTTAAAATGTACTAGAGTCTTTTGTAACATGCACTATCCATAAGCTAGGATACACTTTTACACTCATTAGGGAGAAAAGAATAAGCAATGTCCTGTTTTTATTAACACTGACCTGAAATCCCCATGACCCAAAAGAAAATCAGAAATGACCCATTTCACCACTTGGTTTGTGTTTCAAACTCTGGCTGGATCTTGGTGTGCATTTGCTACCAGAGAAGATGCCTTTGGGGACATCAAGTCCACCCTTAGTATTTATCAAAGGGCTGCTGTGACTGGCATTGACTCTGAAGATACAACTGGAACCTGCAGCGCATTTACTGATATGAACATACTTAATGCTTTTGGGGATTGCCAGAACGACAGGGGTTGGGCATGGACTTACACATCCATATTATCACTGACTCATTTGAAAGGCCCACTTTTCCAGAGGTGTGAAATGGAATGGAATAAATGGAATGCATGGTACTGACAGCCACTCCATTATTTGCTCGCTCTTATTCATGTAAATAAAGTCACCCCAAAGGCAAAATTATAATAAACAATTGTTCCATATAATGCTAGAAACATTATAGAGCCGCCTTCATTTGAAAACATTTTAATTTTTTTTTTTCATTTTGAAAAAGGGAAACCAGACAGTTTACTAGTTACTAAACATTTGCCTATGACAAAGTAGCAGTACAGAAGAGACACTATTAACCTAACCTGCTTTATGTCATTGCTTGGTTTCAAATCACTGACCAGAGGTAAGGATTCCTGAAATGGCTATATTGTATTTTAGTATGCAAAGACTAGGTAAAACTATACAACCGTCTGTACATGTTGTTGTTTACTTCAATGCAATATACTGTGATTCTGCCCTATTTCAACTGCTTCTCTTAGTTCAATTTTTCTTTCAGTCCTGCCTCATAGGATAAATATTAATATTAATTTCAATTCACAATGGCCTTTAATCATTGTCTCATTTCTTTTGATACTAAGCAATAAAACAAAGTGATTTTTAAAACACTCTTTTGGTTAGTTTTATGTCATACTGATTCATGTCTCTATTACAAACAGATGGCTTTCATCTTTTTCATTACCACCACTGATGGTGAAATCAGAAATGAATGTGCACGTACACACACTCTTTGCTGTGGCTGATCAAAGGCTTTAGTATTCATACTCATGAGTAATGTTGGACACTCTTTTGAGCAGCTGCGTGAATCAACAAGTCTTTCTTGTTCAATATTCACCGTTTTTAGACATCTGGTTCATACACATCTTACCATCTCCATTCAGCCATCTCTTAGGGATGTGTCACTTTGTTCACCTGAGGAGGAAAACAGGATACACTTAGACACAGATGCATCTATTTGGATTAATACAGGTGGATTAATACTTTCAGCCTCATCTCTAGAGGGCATCCATGTGAAAATGTCATTTGTGAACCATGGGTACTAGAGAAGTAAAGCTCCTCCCACAAACTGAGGGATATATGAGGGCTCAAAGAGGATAAAGCAGCAGGGCCAGAAATGTTTGTTCTACCTACATCCCTTGTAGAGACATGCCTCCCCTACCTCCACCTCAATTTCGTATTTTAACACAGTGGCAAGTTCTGAAAGTTTCCACTTGCATTCAGTAGAATCTCCTTTTGCTTGGATCTTGAGAAAACAGGCTTCTGCAACTGAGAGCCCTTTGGTTGGGGGATTCTGAGAATTGAAATCTGCACATTTTGAGGGTGTCTATGTTGGGAAAAGCCACGATAAAGCAGTGCCCTGCACATTCTACTCCCTTAGGTATTATGAATGACTCCACCCAGGCAGGGTGGGTAATGTTCAGGCTGAATATATCTGCTCCTCTATCCCATTTGCAGTCCTCAAAGCACCCTGAGATCACATGGTCAAATTCAGAAGCAAAGTGTCTAATCCAGAAGGACAATTTTAAGTTTTAAAGCACTAAAATTAGGGGAGATATAGATGCAGGGACCCTCTTTGAGGTTTCCTTCTTTCCCTTAAAATCCCACCAAACGCCATCAGAGCACTTTAATATACCACCAAAATTCAGCAGCAAAATGGCTACTTTTCAGTGGTATGATTTTCTGCTTCAAAATATTAAGGTTGGAAATAGATGTGCTCAGCCACTTCAAGAAGTAGAGCAATTTTTATCCTTAAGCACTCCAACCCCCAATAAAATACTTTAAAAAAAAAACTGGTCCAAAAAGCCTTGCTCCTGATGACATCACTGTACCCTTTGTGGCCACAGGTAGGGAACAAAAGCAAAGCAGTCCTTAAGTGAATACATCTGCCCTGTATGAATATTGTAGTTGCACAACATTCCTAGTTGAGTTTTCATAATCCCAGTAATTCATATCACAAGAGTGAGACTGGAACCAAGACAGAATGTCTCAAGTCAATTTCCTAAGAAAGCTTGAGATCTGCCTAC